CACAGCATCCCCTGAGCTACTGCTCTGGTCCCTGAAAGACTGTGTACAGTGTGTACAGTGGTCCCCAGGCTTGCATGACAGCCATCACAAACACTTGGCATGCTGTCTGGCTGGAAGTAAGGGCTCCAAGAATGCCAGCAATTTAGACTGCATTGTCATAGAGCCTGGTCATGGATACCAGATCTTAAATACAACATTGAGCTGTGATCCTATCCAACTCAGACCTTAACAAATGGCTTTGAACTTGATTGACAATTTATTTTTCTCCATCAAAAAACAAAAGATGGTCACATAATTTCATTTTTGTTTTATTTGCTCCTATTTAAATTTTACAATTAACCACCATCATTACCTCCACTGCTGCTATCACTACGACTCAGTGCTGCTGCATCTGCTCAGCTAACTTTCCATATTTTCCCCATTCATTTCCACTCCCTCTTACTGTTCCCTTACTCAAAATTACGTTTGTCCTTGTTAATAGGACTTCTACATCTCTAAAATTACACTGTATGCATCAGATATAATGTCTGGCACTATCTGGCTATGTGACCTTGTTAATTCTACAAGGATATCTGCCAAATTCTCTTTTAAGCCACAATATGAGTTTCTAACAAGACAGAACACCTAATTTAAGACATAGCTCTCTAGGACACTTTGGAAAAGGAAAAGAGCAAAGAACCAGCAGATACCCTGATGTTCTCCTCCTAGAGGCCACCTGAACTATGAGCAACATGTGGCAATAGTATTAGGGACCCAGAAGTGGAAGAAAAATAGATGTACAGTTCCTGTGAGCTCTCCTTTCAATGCCTTCCCTGCAGGTCATTATATGGAAATGGATCTTTTGAAACAATCTGGTTGTCAACCTTGTCGAACCTAAGGTAAATGATATCAATCTTTTCATATCAACAAGGTTATCTTTTCACCAACAAGGATGGGAGAATAATAGAGAAGAAGGTGAGACACACCGCCTTGTCAAACCAGTGGCAAGATGGGGCACAAATGTGAGTTCCTGGTACATCCTTTCCGGCACTCTAATAGAGCCTACTTGAGCTGTAACAGGCACATATTTCTTCAGGCTGCCTTGGATTAGTCCATGAGACTTGCTGCCCATTCTGATTCCCACCCAAGTCCTCATCTGGTTGCCATGACACAGCAAGGGACCACCTTAGATTTATTCTGCTTCACTCCCCTGTTGCTGAATAAACAGCAGAAAGAGTGGCAGAAAGGTTGGAAGATGTGGCTCCCAATACCTGGGAAAGACTGTTCTCATACAGGCCACTGTTCACATCAGGCTGAAGACACCAGGTGGCAACAAAATAAGCCATGGAGATGATCCTTTTCATGGATACCCTAATGCTTCCAGTGAAAAATGGAGGACAGTTGGCAGGAGGACATTTAGTGCACTTTTCTTGCCCGGAATGTTCTAGCTTAGATAACTGTTAGTTGGATGGACTGATAAGCCTGGTTCAGATTCAGCTTCATAAGAGCTTTAATGCTCTGGCCAGAGTGTGAAACTACCAAGGCTATAGCAGCATGCTGGCAGGAATGACTGGCATGCGGAGCTGGTGGCTGCTGGTGCGAAGAGTGTGTGGAGAGCTTTAAAATGGACAATATCCATTTTGGTTGTGTTAGTCAGGAAAACATGCCCGACTGTCACAGCCAACTCTCAGTTCATTCCTGCAGCCCCTAAACAAAGAAAACAAAGCTTTCCAGAAGAGCTATGCTATGACAAGTAGGATCAGAAGTCACAAAGCTTGGTGCCCACTCCAAGGCTGACTCTCACTTCTTTATGTGGCTACATACACATTGGACCTCCTGAGGGCTCTGGGTTGCTACTCTTAGTCCAATGGCAACTTATCTCTAAGGCTCAAAGTGCTTATCAAGAAGGCTACATCTAAGAGTTTGTTGTTGGTAGTACAGAGAGTGCATGGCCTAGATCCCAGGAGTCCACAAAGCCGATCAAGTAGTACTACTTGGTAAGCAAGTGGGGTCAAGCCACCTCTTGCAGTCCAGACTTTGCTTGTATTTTGTACTATGAGTTAAGTGAAGACTTTGAATGTGCTGGCTAGGACACCTGGGCTCCAAATTCAGATAACAAGCTGTCTATTGTGGCCTTCCTGAAATGGTAATGCTTGTGTTCTAAGATCTTAAATAAATAAATATTAGTTATTTGCCAGACATGTTAGCTAGGTCATATCCCTATGCTGAAAGCACTGCACACAGAACAGTCATGGTCACATGCTGGGAGTTACACTATAAAACTGTATGCTCTTACTGTGGAAAAACCCTGGGTTCTCCAGGGTCCCCTAGTGACTCACTCTGATTGAAGAGTCTCTAAGTAAGTCAAGGGCTCCCTGCATTATGACTGTCACCGGAATAGTAAACTCTGAAGCTCAAGCCATAGTAGATTCTGTCTATGGACTGTCCACACATAATTGACTTGCTAAGGTTTGAACATCTTTCTACTTCCCATTATACAACAGGATCATCAGCCTATAACAAGTCCAAGAAGACAAACCACCAAACAGAAAGCTCTGTTGGTGCTCATGGGTTAGATAGAAACGATTCCAACAGCAAGCATTGCCTCCTGGGAAACTCAGTTCATCTTTCCTTGTTTCCAAAGTTCTGTAGACTGGAGGTGGGCCACCCAGAGTGGTACCACTAAATCCTACACATTCTATTAGAAATTCAAGTATAGACAGTATCTTCAACTAGACCAAGCTATTAGATATTAATGTTCAGACAACACCTACCTCACTCCAGACCAGCATGGTACCGAATATGACCTGTAACCCATCAAAGAAATTGTCCCCTATGATGATCACAGTCGCGCCTCCCGTCGTCCATCCTTCACTCGGGCTGATGGCTTTGATACAGGGAGTAGCTGCTTTTCAACACACATGAAAAAGAGAAGGAGTCTGCTGTTAGAACCAAACTTTAATGATGGGAGACTTGAGAAAAAGAAAAAAATCTTTTATCTTTTCACTAACAGAAAGCCCCTCAAGACCTCAACATTTCCTAGCCACATCAGGACCAGAAACCCAGGGAGCAACTTTAGTTCTTAAAGGCATCTTTTTCATTGCTTCTATTGAGATGCATATATTTCACCCATCTCTTTATTCATTTTGAATGCTTGTGAAATTTAACACAGAAAACAAATTGAATTTATCAAATGCTAGAGATTCCAATGCTGTGGAAGCTTTATAGAATTGTTTCAAGGTTGAATATATTTGTGAAGTGAAAATGTCTACATTCTTAGGTGAACATTCCTGTCCAATGGGAGGTGGCTAACAAGGCAAGCAGGAGGCTGGAGCAGGAAGGATTCTTGCTCCATGTTTTTCTCTCTGTAACATTAATGCAATAACATTCCTCATTTAAAATCATTACGATTTTTTCAAATACATGTTGTGGGTCCCATTTTATGGATTCAAAGTCATGGGTCACTTGGGGTAAATTATGCAAACAAATAGTGGTGGTTTTGCTGAACCACAAACTGTCATAATGACCTTGGCTCTATTGTGTTTCCAGGAAATAAAAATGTATGGGTGGTATCTCTTTCCATTGCAAATGGCCTTCATTTGCAAAGACTGTGACTGCAAGCACAAGTTAGGTGGCTTTCCTAATAAGCATTGCTTATTCTGGGCAGAATTACTAAAAATACATGGAGTGATAGGATTATGACTTTGAAACCTCTCTGAAGGCAGCTTGATACCACAAAGGATCTTTGCCATCAGTGCCATGCTGTTGCCCTTATGATACCGGTTATTACTTTCACAAACAGCACCACAGCAAACTATTGTGCAAGAAGAGAGAGTGAGACTATCCATCCTCTTCAATGAAAATTAAGTATTCAAGACTGACTTCGCAAGCACTGATGCCAAGGAGAACACCAGTTCATTTTAAATGTGAGTGGGAAGTCGTGGAAAAATAATAATAATTAGTATTGGACTTTGTCAAATTTGGCAAAGTCTCATGTTTTAACTTTTGCAATGAGCAAAGAAAACATTAAGTTAGTCCCAGTGGGACCAGTGTTCACGTGCCACCACACAAACAAGTAGGATGGTGTTGGTTCCGATTCAAATTAATCCTCCAAACCTTGCACAGAGAAGTTTGAAAACATCCAAACCAAACATTTGGTGTTGGCTGAACTCACAGGAACACATCTGCAGCTGAAACAGGCAGCTTGGATATTTACTTTCCTGCATTTTATCCCCAAACAAAGCAATTAGTCAAGAAAGTATAAAGGGTCCATGACTGGACTTCATTCTTGTCCAATTTTTGACCTAAACAGGGTGGGGCATAAGTGTCTCAAGGGCATAGGACTTTTTCTTATACAAAAGCTTTTTTGAAAACTAAAATGTTGACACACACAGTTACAGACTTCTGAAGCAATGACATTACACAATGTAGGATTTCAAGCTGTCTATAAAATATATAAGTTACATTTAACTATGAAAATTCATAAAACATAACCATTTTTGAAAACATTTTGTTCATATCACCAGATCTCATTTTATTGATTTATAACTCAATATATTCAGGTACTATGGTCACATGCAAAAGGTGTTGCTGTCTCGCTAGATACCTTAGAAAAATATTCAATATTGGCTTGGATGAACTGGGTATGAGAAACCTATCTAATTGCAAAGTATGGACTCCAGTAGTGTCATTAAATGCTGAGGCTATGTTTGCCCATGCAGATTTCAAAATGGTCTTCATGTTAGCATCTATTAGCTTTGGGGTTTCTGTTTTTATTTTTTATGTTGCAGGCATAATTGTTTAGACAAACAAAGTCTCTTCCAAACTGTTTACCATAGCATAAAATGACATGGAAGGGCATGTTTGAGCATCTAAGAGAAATCTGTCTATGGGGGAGAACTTACATGGTCAAGACCTGCTGAGTTTACACTCAATTCCTTTCTTTGTTTATCCTCTTGTTATTTATAAAGTACAAATGTGTGCGTTCATGTGTGTGTGTGTGTGTGTGTGTGTGTGTAGGGGTTTCATGTATGTGAATGTATGGGTGGTTGGGGTTTGGAGGTGATTGGGAGTATGGGGTTATATGGGTGTGTGTGCATAAATGCACACACACGCATACACACACACACATTCAGAAACACTTGAACTTAAGGAAAGTGACAATGTTTTCAAATACTAGGAGAAACTGTTCAGAAGCCAACCTACAGGTCAACTATTCAGAGGAAAGGAAGAGAGGATTGAGCCCTAAAGTAGTAAAGAACCAATGTAATACTATCATCCTGGATTCCGGAGGGAGAATCCTGAGGTAAATACGAAGATAGCAACAATTCGAACTAATGAAAAGTGTTCCAGCTAGTTTGAAAAATTGTATAATAAGCCTTTATGTGTATGAGTATTTGTGTATGTCTGATTCCAGGTGACATGTGACCAGGTGATCTAGACAAAGGTCTAGAAGACAGGACGCCTATCAGTTGTCGACAGTGGCTCCTTATGAAAAGGGAATGTGACTGGACTGGGTTTGACAGGAAAAGACGGCTATTAATTTTAACTCTATTAACGGTTATATGGCTTGAAGCTTTTCCACTGAGCATATATTAAGGTAATATATGAGTAAAAAATTCAGTGAAGCAGAACATGTGGTAACATCTGTACTTTCTAGAGCAAATCAATACTGAAAAGAACTGAGCCAAGTACCTAACATCAGCTAGGATACTTAGTGTCCCTGGGTCTTGCCTCCCCTCTGTCCCATTGGTAAGTTGTCTAAGGATGCTGCAGAACCTTGGAAGCAGCTTGGGCCTCAGGTTCATTGATGCCATCTCCTCACAAGATCTGGGAAAGATCACTGTTTTAACAGTCACACTGGCTCAATTTAGAAGAATATGAGAGTGAAGAGATTTTCAGGAGTTCCATAATGAGCCGAGATAATCAATAGCATTCTTTCACAAAACAAAACAAACAAAAAAGCCATTATGGTTCGGAAAGTGAAGGGGCAGATTTGAAACTAGGGCTGCTTTTTTCTTTTCTTTTTCTTTCTTTTTTTTTTAAGCAGGAAATTCATGGTTTAATTAATGAAAGACTCCTTCCCATCAGCATATTTTCACATTCTGTCCACAAGGGCAACAGACCCATTTCTGGTACTAAATTTCATTAAAAATAAAAGTTTCCCCTCTTCTTCTTCTTTAATGCTTCTCCCACCCCTCACCAGCCACCAAAGTAGAGATTTTCCTTCCTTCAAACTGTGACAATAACATGATTACCCCACCAGTTTAGCATAATGGCTCTGAAATGCTCCTGGCACGTTGCAGAATTAAAGTGGGAATTATTAGGTAGCGCCTCTTTGTTATAATGATCACTCCACAAATAAAAGCTCTTCTCCCCAAGGTACTGCAAGGCACAAAATGCTAATTCTGAAGATTATGTGTGCGCTTTTATTAAATATTACTATGCCCTCCCTGTTTGAGGGCTTCTCTGCTCTGATTGTTTTATGAGGACCATGTTAATGTCATTCCGTCTTGCTAGCAGCAGGCACACATTTTAGCGTTTGTATGAGAGTTGATCAAAGGCCACGTGCTGGGGGAATTGCTGAGAAAACACGGACAAGCGATAAAAATCTAACAGATTAATTGGTTTAAATTTCATTTCAGGGTGTTGAACTTTGGCTTGGGACTTTAATACTACACCGTGAGTCAGGGCCTAATTACCAGATTTCCAATTTGCTTTTGAACAATGGTTGCTGTGAGAAGAAAAAGGAAGTGAAGAATTTAAAAAAAAAAAAAAAGGAGAGAGAGAGAGAAATCATTCAGCCTCCAGTACATATTTAACAACTAACATGCGGGCAGACAATTGCACTGGGGACATTCCTGATCACCTCTTCCACCTCCAGAACATATATATTTTCTTCAAATCACCTCGGAAGGCAGAAGAAATCACAAATGCCCTCAGTGGTTTAAAACCGTCTGGCTTATAGAACCAGTGCTACATGATTCCAGCGCCTGCCCGCCTGCTTGCACCAGGAGCACCAGGCTCTTGATTAGCAAGGTGAATTTACAAGCTCGGCCTCCAATAGAAATGACCTATTTCATTGATAGAAAGCCAGGGTCTGGAGAGCCGTGTTTACCTCAGGGTTTATTGGTGGCCTTGGGAATAAGGGTTAATTGAGCTCAGAGGTGCCTTCCCATTGAGGTGAATTAGTGGTGTGTGTGTCGATCAGCAGGGTCCTGGGGCTGCTCTTGCTTTTGCCTCTGAGATCTCTTTGTGCTCTGATCGATGCCTCACTTATTTAGGGTAGCCATAAAGATGACCCAGGTTCAAGGTTTATCATATCTCATGTCCAAAATGAGGGTCTGGCCACTGTTGTTGCCCCATGACAGAGGCCTCAGGAGAGATGTGTTATTTGTCTCCATTCCCTCCTTTTCTGTCTTTAAATATCCTGGGCTTACAATACTCTATCAATTGGCAAAATGTACAAATTTAGGAAGTCCCGAGTCCACGGTCTGTACCTCAAGATGGCATTGACTATGAACTGTGAAGTGAGTACTAGGTTGCTCTCTGGTTCCATTGTGCCCATGCATGAAACACACCAGATTCCTTTTTCTGCCCACCTGTCAAGCAGCCCTCTATGAATAAGTGATTTTAAAAAGCAAGTACCTGAGGCTCCCAAAGGAGGTGGTAAGGGTGGCACCAGCATTTATTGGTATCTGAGTAAACATTGATGACGTCATTAGACATCAAATCCAACAGTTCACATCTACCATTTACTGCAGCCTCCAGTCACTTGCTCCATGAATACTATAGTGGCTTCCAGTGGTTGAGCCCTGACAGATTTGACACAAATGCACAGAAAATGCCAGCTTGTGTCAGATATACTATGCACTAGTTTCTGCCATAACTATTTAATATTATTGA